TTATTATGTATGCCGAATGTTACAACAGACCATTGCAGATTAACAATACTTTTTGTTAAAAATAACGTTCGACAGCCTTACGAGGAATCAATAAGACGCAATGATTCTCAATATAATTCACTTTAATGATAATAGATAAGCGACGGTTCTCGGAGCTTTTACAGGCATTGCTTTCGGCTGCTGGTGCTCCAGTCAGTCGGTGTCAATGCTCCACTCTGATCGCTTTACATCAGCAGTGTGCTGGATGCAAAAATTGCTTAATCAGCGACAGTCTGTCCGATAATGGAGATACAATGTCAACTCTCACGCTTAAAAAAATAAGACTTGACAACTGACGCACGGGGGGGGGGGGGGGGGGGGGGGGAGATAGTACTATTTTTTACAGCTATATTGAGTTGAAAGAGATGGTTTAATGAAACAATTCACAAGAAGAAAAGAGCCGAAATGAAGCTTCCAACACACGTGTCCGATAATGGAACCGGTGACGCAGCGATTGCCTCAAACGATAAATTCCCCCTTACAATTTACGCTATTACGCTAAATTTTCGACACGTACGAGCATCTATCTTCTTGGGGTGAATAACATAACGTTTCACCTGTTAAACCTACAGGTTGTTAGCGGGTTAGTTAGGTTGACGTTTGTTGTTTTTCTAGTAAACACTCACCGTGTGGGACTGCAGGTTCTGGCTGGCTTCGATCACCGCAGTTAGAGGAACGGTGTCGTCAAGCAGCAGCCGGCCGGGGGTCTTCTTCTCCAGGAAAGACATATGGAGGATTAACGGAGAAAGTCTAGTCTTAAACGTGTCCGTCTGTCCACTGACTGCGGAGGAGGAGGAACACCAACAGCTCGGAGAGAAGCGAACTAACCGCTGGCTGTTAGCTTAGCTTTTTACCGTAAACCAGGATGCGGTGCTGCAATCAGCGTCGAGGTGCGTCAGCGCCCCCTGCTGGTACGGAGGAGGAAGTGTTCGAGGACATAAACAATTTACCAAAATAAAAGAAACGAGCAAATAAAGAAACTGAAAAAAGTAAATAGGTGTCAAACAAACCAGTTCAACAACAAACAAAAAAAATCACAAGACAATGCTGAGCTTATTTCTTGTTTCAAGAAGCTTTCAACCAGAGTTCATGGCCTTCATTAGCTGATGGAGTTGATGGTTGGAGTATTGTGTTGAGAATTTGTTTGTCAAACCTTCAGGCTGGAATGAAAAAGAAAAAACTACAGGGTTAACAGCAGCAATGCTGGAGACAATTTGGGCGGATGAATACCAGCCGCTCACACATTTTCTGGTCATGTATAAAATTAAAACATTCTGGGAGAGGGTTATTCAGATTCTTGAGGATATTTTATGCTACAAGATTCCCAGGGACCCCCTGATTGTGTACCTGGCATTGATACCCAGTGACATAATCTAAAAAGAGGACATCTATCTCTTTAAATCCTCATACTTGCATGAAAAAAGGACATCACACAGAGCTGACCGTCCAAGACCAGGACAGTGGTTTAACATTGTAGACTGAAGGAAATAGAGTCCATAGAAAAATGGACTCATAACGGATGGCATACAAGAGTAAAGATGGGTCTTGTTCTCAGCTGGGCTGAAAAGAATAGTTCAAAGGTTGTAAAGAGAAAGGTGTTTTTTGTGAGGTCACAGGGAACTTGACCTTTTCGCCACCAAATCTTAACCAGTTCAACCTCGAGTGCAAGTGGACGTTTGTGCCAAATTGGAAGGAATACGATCAAGGTGTCGCCGGCACAGAGGGACAAAACAAATGTAGTCTTCAGGGTCTGAGAGCATCCAAGTCCTCCAGAATAAAACCAGTTAAAAAAGGTGAGGGGGGGGGTCAAAGCTACAAAAGTTAAAAAATCAAATGTGTTCAACCAAGGCTAGCCAGACATATGCCGACCAAAGCAGTCCACTTGCTGATTAACATCCCTTAACATAGAATAAATAAGATGAGACAAAGTCATCGGCTAAAGCAGCTGTTCAGGTGATCGGTTGGACTGAAGACTAGCAGACTGTTGGTCCTCGTTGGACATGAATGTTGACAGCAGCACAGACATGTGGCACGCAGAGGGAGACAAGTACAGACCTGAAAACTGTTGAACTTAAGACCGTGACAAGACGTGACTGGATTTAATAAATTCAATGATTGTTTAGAGTTTTTATTTCACACATTAAAGAAAATACAGAGCAGATCTGACAAAATAAACATCTAAATAAATCATCAGTCTCTCTGGTAGCCGTCTCTGTCCAGACGCACATCATGTTTCAGTCATTCATGTACAGGATCAATAAACTACAAAAAAAGTCTTGAGAGATGCCAAGCGCCACTGCACCCGTCACCTCTGACCTCCTCCTCTCACTCCATCTTCTGCTGCTCCTCGGGCATCATCACCATCACCTCCCCCTCCATCACCACCTTGTCCCTGACGGAGCACGTGACGGCGATGAATGCGAATGACATCTTGATCTTGCGGACCTCGGCTTCGGCCAGCACCTCCTCGCCAATGTAGAGCGGCGCCGGGAAGCGGATCTCCTGGTACAGGAAGACGCAGCCGCGGCCGGGCATCCTGGTGCCGAGCACGGCCGAGATCAGGCCGTTGATGAGCACGCCGTGGACGATGGGCGCCTCTAAGGAGGTGGTGCTGGCGTAGGCCGGGTCCAGGTGGAGGGGGTTGTTGTCGCCCGTCAGCTCGGCGAACAGCTGCACGTCGCGGGCGGAGAAGGCTTTGGTGAGGGAGGCCCGCTGGCCGACGTGGAGCAGCCGGCAGGAAGGAGGAGAGAGGCACAGCCGCGGTTTGTAAAAGATGCTGCTCCACATGAAACTCATCCTGAAGAACGAGTCTCCTCCTCCTCCTTCAGTCCAGCTGCAGCTCTCGACTGTTTCCTGTCAGCGCGAGCAGGAACGGAGACACCTGAAGATAAGGAGGAAGAAGAACTGTCATTATGATTCCACACAGAAACATATACTGAAACATTTGTTCAGATCATAGCTCTCAGATCCAACAAAGACACATACAGTTCTTCACACATGCATTCAAAAAAGTCTTCAACAGCAAAACTACATCAAAACTACGGTTTACAAACTCTCAGTACAATCAAAGTCTCCTTCATCCAGTCGTACGCTCACTTCTTCTCACACATTCCATCTTTACTTAAACTTTACCATTTAAAACACTTGCGTATAAACATTCTCACACTTGTGCTGGACGATCAGCACGTCTGCACGTGTTTGAGAAGTTTTGTGCAAACGACTGGATAAAAAACTGCACGAGTTGTGTGAGAGTTTGTAAACACACGTTTTGATCATTAAGAATTCAGTTTTTTATGCTTTCTTCAAAAATTCAAGGTGTGACACAACAGAGGTGTGAAACTGATGTACAAAAGGATATTTTGGGGATGAAGCATTCCTTTGATATAACTATTCCTGCTTTGTTTAACTGACTAGTAGACACTCATAACTTGAATTTTCCAGCAGTCAAAAGTCATAAATCTAGAATTCCAGGCTGCTTCCTTTAAAATGCAGAACACTCTGAACAGATGTGAGACTGAGTCAGAGTTTAACTTTCCCTCAGCAGCTGATACACAACATAAAGATCATGTTTTTGGACTGAAGTGAAGTCTGCTGACCTGCAGCACCCTGAAGGCACAGGTCTGGTTCTGGTAGGAGCCCAGCAGAGTCAGGGAGCTCCACAGCTTCACCAAACCCCTGAAAACACAAACACACAATTAAACCAAACATCTTGTGTCGGAGGAGATAATTTTCTCTCCATCCTGCTGCTGCTGAACTCACCGGCTGTAAACACGCAGAAGAGCAGTGAGGGAGTCTTCATCGTACTTCAACAGGTCAAAGGTCAGCGCTGCCCCCACCTCAAACACAAATGCAGTGGTACATTTACTCAAGTGGTGTACTTAAGTACAACTTTAAGGTAATTTACATTTTCTGCTACTTTATACTTCTACTATATTTTGGAAGTAAATGTTGTAATTTTAACTCTACTACACTTATTTGTATCTTATTTATATGTATCAAGTAGTTTTGGAGTTATCCTACAGACAAACAAAGCATAACCTCAACAATCACAAACAAAAACAACAACTATATTTTTGAGAAATCATTTTCACAGTTGAAACAAAAGAATTTCAAGCTTTTTTCCCCGAACCAATAATTAGTTGATTAGAATCAGAATAATTTCAGAACTAGCTGGACATGTTCTGGAGGCTTCCTCACAGATCACACTGTGGGAATCGAACCGTCGACGTGTTAATGATCTCACCTCTCCGTACAGGCTGTTCAGACCGGTGATGATGAACTGCTTCAGGTCAACTGCACTCAGTCTGGTAGACTCATCCTCCAGAACGCTGAACACCGGCAGAAATACCACGAGTGTTGAATGTACAAGTATAGTAGTCATGGACAGACATGTACAAATACTATGGGTCAATATACAGATATATGTTTCAGACATAGGCACTACAATATCAAGAGACGATTCAAAAGAAACCAATAAATGATGATGTGTTAACAGTGCGACAGTGACTTACAGGCAGACCTTCATGTAGTGGTACGGCGAGGCGTTCTTCAACACGACCCGTCGGTAAACTGCAGGTTCGTTCTTCGTGTCGGCGCGTCTCATTCTATCAAAGCATCCGTGACTCCAACAGGTGACGAGCAGCAGGTCGGTCAGCTGACTTCAGACGAAAAAACAAACCACTGAGGGTTAAACAGACATCAACTAACACGGCGGTTTAGTCTGTGTTTGTATCCTGTGTGTGTGTGTGTGTGTGTGTGTGTGTGTTACATGGTTCAGACGAGTCAAAAGTAACCATGAGTCTGTTGTTATGAGGTCCTGCTGCTGGAAATACTCACTAAAACACCAAATGTGGATTCATCCACCGCTAAAAATAGTCCACAACAAACACACTGTTTCCTCCTGTTTGAGTAACATTTGCTGAAAACTACAAAGACCAGCTGTTTTAGAAAAATACTGAGCTGAAAAGATATATTTGTCAGATGTTTTAAAAAAAGATTTATGTCACAAACAAGAGAAGAGAGAAAGTATTGAGAGACGGACATATTGATGTTTTGGTCTTTTAATAGGATTCCATTGCAAAGAGAAATAGATTCAGAGTCTCTATCAATCTATCTTAAAAATGTTACTTTTTGTACTTTTAGTATATTTTGATAATAATAATAAAATATACTAAAAGTACAAAAAGTAAAAGTACTCGTTGTTGAATATTAGTTAAATGTTTAATTAATTTCTGACTCTGCAGAGAAACTAAATCTGTCAAATAAATGTAATGGAGTAAAAATAAAGTACAATTAGGTACAAGTACCTCAAAGTTGTACTCAAGTACAATAAGTCAGTACTTGAGTAAATGTCTAAATGTCAAATCATAGGTCAGTGACATTAAGGCAGCAGGTTATCGACATGTTGACACAGGAAGTGGACAAACACAATACTATTTAGCTTCATAAAAAAGAGTAATACTAAAATACCATCTATGAGGATTACATGAATACAAACTTTCTGAAAAGTTTAATTCGTTTTGACACACAAACAAATAATGGACTGAGCTAACAAGATAGCCAGCTAACAACCAGGCTACAACGTTGCATTCTAACTTAAAATATTAACTTACGCTATTAATATAAAGGCTTAACACGTGTGGCAGACTAACTTTTCCACGTGAGAAGTCAAAAACATGTCAAACAGCCTGACACTAAAACTAGCTAACATGAGGTCAAACAGTAGGAAAGTCACGTGAACTAGCTAACTTAAGCTAAGCTAGCTCTTAGCTGCTACACTGAAAACAGCTAGCAGTAAACGAACTGTCATTTGTTATTGATAAAGTATTTAAAAATCATTGCGTTTTGCAGCATTTAACTCACCAACTAACATCAACATTGAGCAATAATGGCGTGTTGTGAGCGCCATGCACCCTTGACCAGAATCAGCGCATGCGCAGTCACCACAGCAGGATATTGTCAGAGGTGTAAAATGAGATGATGGATCACTCTGTCTCAACATCGAACATCCAGGAATCACAAACGAAGGTAAGATGAGGGGAATTTCAGGTACTATTGCACCACCAGCACTAAGACATAAACAGGTACAGAAAAATAAAAAAATAGACTGAGACAAGTAAAAATCAATAGTTAGAAGTATATGAAATAAAAACAGGTAATTTGACAACATTTTTATCTTTTGAAGACATTTCTACTTCCATCAGAAAGAGAAACATATGGTTGAAATGTTCAGAATGATATTAAATACAATTTCTCATAAGACATTAAAATAACACAAGACACAAGTCATAATTATGAGATATTGTTGAATTTTTAGTTTATTTCACTTCTGTCACAGCTGATTTTATTTTCATAGAATAAATGGTCTTTCATGCTCTCTTCAGTAAAAATGTTCTGGACTGAGTCTGCATAAGTTCCAAAATGTAACAAAAATAAATTATTAAAATTATATCATAACAAACGGTTCACTAACCCAATTTATGCACTAAGCCGAGGTATTTGAAAACAACGAATCATATTTAACAAAAAAACATCAAGTTACTTTTAAAATGCTTATCAATAACTATTATAATTTACTCATCAGAGACCAGTTCGTGCTGGAGTGGTACATCCTGTCATGAATTATTTGCTCTTTGACGTTCTTAATAAAGCTCTAAAGATGTGTCGCCACCCAGCGGTCTCTTGGTGTACTACTACATGCAAAAACTAAACAGAACACAAGTTTCCAATCAGTCAGTAAAACAATTATTTTTATTATTTATAAGATTTATTTCTGTAGTCCAGAAACACTCTTTGTGCAGACATTACTGAATCACCTCATTCATCAAACGTTATTCACTTACAGTACATGTTTCATTCTGAATGTGTTTCTATGAGGTTGAATGTGCAGTCGGTTCACAGCAGAAGACTTCACACACAAACAAACAACTGTCATTCACATGACACAGGAGATTCAAAAACAGTTTATCTGAAAGAGAAATGTGCAAAATCCCAAAGTGGAATGTTTTCATTAAAGATAAACATCTAAAACAGAGACTAAAGCCTCCTGCGTGGTGCTGTGTGTCCAAAAACTTCAGGACTATTTGACTGTCTGTCCCTCTTTTGTGCATTAATTAAATTTTCACGGATGTAAAAACTCTGATATCGAACTAGAAAATGGTATCATCACCAAATATCAATACCACTTCATCACAACCGTCATTCTCCTCGCCTTCAACATTCAGAGTGAGGTCGTACGGTTTTCTTCAGGAAAGTTTCTTAGTGTTTTCACAGCTGACTTCCTGTGCAGACAGGAAGTCCATGATGAGCTGGGCGGCTTTCCTGGGCCGCTCCAACGCCACAGAGTGACCACAGTTGTCCAACAGCACAACCCGGCAGTTTGACAGCGCCGCCTCCAGCACCGCCGCCCCCGAGACGTCCACCACCTGAGAGAGCAGACGGGTTTGTTAGAAGCCTTTGGTGATCAGCAGACACTGCTGTGTATACGACATATTCATTCTTTAATAGCTGCAGCACAGCTGTATGGTAGAGCCTTTTTGGTCAGTCTGTCCTTTCATAACATTTTGTTGAGACATTCATGTTCCCCAGAGGATAAATCCAGATGACTTTGTTGATCCCCTGACTTTTCCTCTTGCGCCACCATGAGGTTCATATTTGTAGATATTAGAGAAATACCTTAACAACTATTGGATGGATTACCATGAAATTTGGTGACGTTCATGTTCCTCTCGCGATTAACAGTAATAACTCCAAAGATCCTCTTATTTTCTATTTAATGCCCCAATCGGGTTAACATCTTAATGTGGCCAAAACTTTCAATTTATGACCAAATACTTGCAAAACGAATGACTTTCCCTTCAGCCTCAGCTGTACCTTGTGTTTGGTGCTTATCAACATGCGTTAGCATGCTAACACGCTAAATTAAGTTGGTGAACAATGCAAATGTTATACCTGCTGAAGATCAGCATGTTAACATACTCAATAAATCTGTTTTTTTAGGAACATCTCATATTCAGAGTGCCTTTTTCCTTGAAGATATCTACTTTTCAAATGACCGTCACTGTGGTTCATTTATACCTGGTCCTCCGTCCCCCAGACGACCTGCACGGGTGATGTGATCAGATGCAAGTTTTCCTGCAGCGAGTGACGAGACTTCTCACCGACGATCTCCACGAACACTGAACAACACACACGCACACACACACACACACACAGACACACAATAAATTAAAGGAGCATTTCACAAGCATGTGTAGCAACAGTTATTAAAAGGTGAAAGATACGAGATTGGGAGCATTTCGATTGCCTCTAAATGGCTCTCAACATGGCGATGCCTCACCTGGCGGCTCACGGCTAACAGAGCTAACAGTGCAAACTACAGCGAAGGTGTTGACAGAACCAACAGTGTTGACCTGAGAGGGAACCGGAGGGTGACGGCTACGCGGTCAGGATGACGTTATCAGCTCTAACTGCCGTATGAGAGCAATGCAGAGCGGCGGCCGTGAGATAACAAGTGGGGCATGCCAACATGAATTAACATGCACGGCACGCCTAGCTATGTCAACAAAGCAAGGCGAAACTCGGATAACAACATGCAGAGGGAGAGCGACTTCATTCTCTGCTCAGGTAGACATTACTGCTCTATATCTTTACACAAGGAGGAGGAAGTATTGGTGATGGATATGAGCAGACTGACCTTCTTTGTAGAAATCATTGTTGGGGATCCTGTTGTCAAGTAGACCCCGCATGACCTGGCAACACACACACACACACACTTGCATGATATTTGTATACCAACAGTAGTTGCACTGATATATTGATAATGTTGTGTGAAGCCTTAAAGGGACAGTTCACCCCAATATCAAAAATACATATTTTTCCTCTTCCCTTTAGTGCTGTTTATCAATCTCGATTGTTTTGGTGTAGTTTTGGAGATATCGGCTGAATAGATGGCGTTTTGAGAGACAGCAGACATCTCTCCTGCAGATACCTTCAAAACGAGGCAACTCACACCAAAACAATCGAGATTGATAAATAGCACTACAGGTAAGACTACCAGGTAGCGCAGCTCTTTACCTGTCGGGGTAAGTTGAGGGGGGTGTAGCAGCAGAGTTTCATCATGTTGTCCAGCTCCTGAGGAGTGGTGGGGATCAGAGGGATCGACTCCTCAGTATTCTCTATCTCCCTCAGACGACGGATGAACTTAGTTTCTGTTGGAAAAACCAGACCTGGAGGACAAAGAGGAGGAGGAGGAGGAGGAGGAGGAGGAGGAGGATGAGGAGAGAGGCGTGTCTATTATTCTGCGTCATCAAACAGTCTCAGGTTTGAATCCTGGAGGGAAGCACTGAACCATAAATCAAGACGTTTGCTGAGTTTACCTGCCGGACAGACCAAGGTGACGCCGGAGAGTTGAGCTGGGTAACGGGCGGCGTATACTCCGGCGACGTTCCCACCCATTGATGTCCCGACCAGGTGGAAGGGTCTTTTGTCCAGACCGATGCTCTGCACAAACTGTTAGAGTTGTTAGGAAGCTGAACATACTGAACAACAACAAGCAACTGTTTCCAGTTTTTACATTTCTGTTTGTATGCTGATTAAACAAACGAGATGCGACGTGATAATTACAGATCTTCAGTGTTGGAAGATGTAGGCCAAGGATCAATCAAATTGCAGGACAAAGTTGAACCTCGTCTGTCAGAGCTGGTCAGGAGTTTGCACTAAGCCCCCCAGTAAAGAAAGCCGGGCTTTGAAACAGATCGTACATAACGGCCAAACGATGAAATCATAATTAACGGGCCCGTCACATGATGCCATGGGGCCGCAAAGACTTCTTCCTATGGGATTTACATTTCGGAAAGAGACGTCTTTAACTTAGCGGATAATTTGTTTTGAGGTAATTCAACTTTCCAGTACAACCACAGGATTATCCCTTATTTAAATAATTATATTCCTTTCTCCAATCATGTGAACGAAAAATAGGCTGGACCGAAGGTTGGGAGGCGGAGTTATAGGAAATGCTAGTGCGCTTGCTCCATCAACCTCAAAATGCGGCAAGATTGGCGAAAGATTGCCGGATCATCTGTTGAAGTCAAACTTTTTTTTTGCTTCGTGTGACACCAAGCAACGTTGATAGAAATGAACGGAGCCCCGCCTCCAACTCTGTATCCAGTTCTCTTTATAGTTTCATGGTTTGAACTGAAACAGGAAACATTTGAGTTCATTTGAAGTGACACTGACACCTTCAGACTGCACATTGACATGCAGTGTGTTGTATTTATCTCTCTCTCATATACACACACAGACACAGACCTGGTGGATTCGGGTGACCTGCCCCTGAATGCTGTAGTCCTTGGCACCGGTGCGACTCGTCCCCTCGTGTCCCGGCATGTCCACACACACCACATGCTGGCCTCTGGGTAAATGCTGCAGGAGAGAAAAACAGACTCACTGAAATAAACGGTGTTCCACTTCAGGGTGTTCACAATAGAAAAAAAAGGGGACAAAAATGACATGTAACGCGTTACCGTGATGACGGTCAGCCACATGTCCTTGCTGGCGGAGAAGCCGTGCAGCAGCAGCAGTGACGGCGTGGCTCCCCCCGGCGCCCCGCGGCTGCTGTAGCAGAAGCGGTAGCTTCCACTGTGAGAGTAGCGGACCACCAGGCCCAGCCTGCGACGCACGAACCTGAGGAGGATCACAGCTCCATCACTAGTTATTATGACAATTATAGAAACGTTAATGTCTGAAGTCCTGCTGGCATAAAGCCCTGACAGTTGTTGCATAATCAACAATAAGTACACATGAAGATCGTTATAAGGCTCCACTACACTATAGTTGGCTTTTAATTAATTATATTGACATATAACCAATCACCAAGTCAAATTCCTTGTGTGTGCAACATACTTGACAATCAGCCGTTTCTGATTGTGCGATGTGGTAAGAACAGCTGGGGACACTGGCAGAGAGAAGGGTTGATCTTAGCTGTATTTCATTAAGATGAACTTTTTAATTCAACCGCTCAGTCATATTGTTATTATTTAAGATCATTTCAATTCTAATCTTATTTCATGTAATGTTTCAGTGTTGTATAACTTGACATTTTATGCATATCACAGAGCTGCTGACAAAACCACTATTTCATAACTCAGTACTGTGTGTGTGTGTGTGTGTGTGTGTGTGTGTGTGTGTGTGTGTGTGT